CAGTCCTTGTGACCGCATCCGAAGACGGCATACGAGACATTCTCCAGCTCCTTGCCCTTGAGAGTACCGATCCAGTTGACAAAGTGTGCGGCGTTATCGGTAGGCGCACCCTCGTAGGATGCGGTGATGATGACAACGGGCTTGTCGGTGGGGATGCTCTCGCGCACCGCATCCAGAGTGTCCACAACTTCCGCGTTGAAGCCATGGTTTGCGGCGTCGCCAGCGAGACGGTTAGCAAGCGCTTCGCACGTTCCGGTGTTGGAGCCGTAGTAGATGGCCATAGGCTTGCCCTTGGTGGTCTTCTCCTTCCTGACAACGGGTGCCCCATTCGCCGGAGGAGGGTCGTTGAGCGTAGCCGATGCCAGCGAGCGCTCGAGCGATGTCGCGGAGACTCCATTGCGGAGATGCGCGCGCATGTAGAAGTCTTTGGGCTTGATCGTGAGTGTCTGCTTGATCTGGAGTTGGTACGACGCGTCTTCCATGGTGAAGTTGAAGTTCTGGAGAAGAATCGCAAGCACCAAAAGGGCCTCTTGCCAGGCGAACGGCCTTCCAATGCAGGCTCGCATGCCGTTGCCAAAGGGCTTCCAGCAGTTGGGGAACTCTTTGTTGCGGCGCTCAAACTCAGCATCAAGCATTCGCTCAGGTCGGAACTCTTCGGCATCTTCACCATACGCGACCGGATCGCGGTGGACCATCGGGAACAACGCAACGAGAGGAACGCCCGCCTTGACTGCATACTTTCCTCCAATCGTGGTGTCTTCTTTGGCAGTCATTCCGACCGAAGGCGCGGTAGGTTGAAGACGAAGAGCCTCGCGGAGCACAGCGTTCAAGTAGGGAAGCTTCGTCAAGTGATCAACAGTAATCGGACCCTTGCCAATCACATCATCGACTTCTTGTTGCGCCTTCTCATACGCCTGAGGGTTCTTGAGAAGATAGTAGAAGGTGAACGATAGCAAGCCCGATGTTGTCTCATGGCCAGCAATCAAGAAGGTGATCATGTTGTCAATAACGTTCTCGTCCGTCATCTTCTTGCCAGTCTTGGAGTCAACACCGTTCAACATGCCGTTCAGTAGGTCTTTCTTGTCGGTCGGGTTCTCTCTCCTCGTCTTAATGACGTCCAGACTGGTCTTGCGGAGCAGTTCGATGTCTTTCCAGTACTTTTGCGACTCGGCGCCGTAGAACATCTGCGAGATGGGGTCTCGCCTTGCGCGGTCTCCGCTGGTCTTGAGGAAGTCGGCCATGGCATCAACGAACGGGTGCATCTTTTGGTAATAGTAGGAGTTGAAACGGTAGTCCATGGCGCAAAGGGCGATGGTGTCGAGAGTCAGCCGGGTGAAGTCGTCCGTGACGTGTATGGTGTGCTCAGGGCCGTGTCTTGCCCACTTCATGACGAGCTGCGACGCAATGTCGTGCATCTCGTTGAACATGTTGCGAATGGCGAGCGGGCCGAGTTGAGGAAGCAGAACGCGATGCGCAATACCCCAGTTCTCTTCTTGTGGTCCGTAGGATGTGAACAAGCCATCGTGGACACCGTTGCGGACCTGTTCTAGTGATGCCGCTATGATCTTCGAGAACCGCTCCTCGTTACAGATCTCGTCCATGTGAGCTTGGTTTGCGATGACGACACGCTCGCCGCCAAGGTAGAACTTCCATATCGGGCCTGCACTCATTAGCTCTCGGCTCGCAGATTCGCATCTAAACTCAGTCCTTGTGCAAGGAGTGAACAGCAAGGTAGGTATAACAAGAGAATTACTAACCGTACTTCAGTGTCAGATTACACATAGACTGTATGGGATTTGTGGCATCGATGTCTGTGATGTTGCCAACGATGGGCAGGCCAGGAGGGCCGGGGATGGGTTCAAGCTCCGCCATGTTGAGGTACAAATAATAAAAGGAAGAAGGTGCAAGTCCAAAAAATCAAAGTAAACGCTCGTTGGTTGTTGAAGTCGATGTGTTGACCGTTCGTCGTGGCCGGACAGCCCGCTCTATCTATAATGTATCAGAAGAAATTCAGTCATGCCACGTCGTTTGCATAATGACGCACTGAAACGAACTGGACTCTTTCGCGCGCTCCGAATGCTACCTCCTGGACGCGTTGGGACCACTTTCGCTGCTTGTCGAGCAAGATGCCTCGGTCGTCGTTGCGAAATGCGAGCACGCTGATTTGTCGGTTCCGTTTTGGGCAAGTCGCCGTGTCGGAGGTTTTCACGTCGGGGGCGGGTGAATTGCGTCGGCCGAGCTAGAGGCTGAAGCACATGCAAATCCGCTGGACACGCGAGATGAGACGAGAATAGGCCCTGGGCGAGATGCGAAGTGTTGATGGGGCTTAAGAAGGTGCAGCTTGCGAGTGTAAATGCAACGCAATGCCTGGAGGACCGACTTGGCATTGGGTTCGCTTTCATTGGCTTGCGGGGACAAAGCGGTGGGATGATGCGCGTGGACCAAAGTCATCCGCTGGCATTCCGGCGATCAGGGTTTACGAGGGTTGACCACAACTTCGCAATGAGGACTTTATTGATCTCGTGAGGACGGTCTTGGGGTGGTAATCTTTCATAATCGAGCATTCATCATATCTAGGTATCATACAGCAAATCGAGCGGCGGAGGTTGTTGTACTACAAGACAACCTCACCATGTCCTCATCCTCGAACCCTCAAAAAGCAAACACGCTATACAATCTAGATAGTCGGCGCGTTTCCTGAAGTCAATGATTCGAGTGTCGTCATGTTGCGCCATGTTGGACAAGGACGCAGCTCTCCTGGACGATCGTCAATTACAGGCGCATCACCAGCGCAGCGAAAGCCCCAAACGCCATTCCTGGTGTCGACAGCGACCACCTCCCAGCACCGGCCTGCATATTCTCGAAGGGGCTACCGTTGCCGTTGGCCGGCGGAGGGTCTGTCTCTTCCGACCCCGATGCCGACGATGTCTGCGTAAAGGAGGCGCCTGGTGTCGGCACCGGAGCGGAAGGCTGGGCAGAGGGGCTAGGCGACGAGATCGTGGACACGGGCGTGCCACCAGCCACAGTCGACGTGATGATGCTGCCGGTGCTAATCTGCGTCGGGCCCATGACTATAGGCACGATTATCTGCAGCGTGTTGCCGTCGCCATCGGTCGACGTCTTTGTTATGGTCGTGCTGATTGCGCTGGTCAAATCAGCGCCGGCGTCGTCATGTTCGTCGGTTTGGGTCGTGGTGGTGGGCTTGGGTGCAGCGGGCGCGGGCTTGGTTGTCGGGGCTGCGTGCGTGGGTTTCGGAGGGTCGGCTGCGGCGGTGCTCGACACAGCAGCGTAGGCGTCTTCCACCACCTCAGCTGGTATCGTGCAGCCGATGGCATCGCAGTAGAGTTCCAGCGGTCCGAGGACGAGTTCGATGTCCGATTCGTCGGCTTTGCATGAGGATACCGCGCACGCGACTGCGCTGGAGAGGTACGAGGTGCTGCTCTCGCTGGTTTGACATATACCTGGAGCCACATCAGTCTGTGTCGCGGTGAAGTATAATAGTGTTGAACTCACACTTCCTATAACTGCAGCCATCGTCTGTGTTTCCGAAGCAGTCCCGCCAACACTGGGGGAGACTCTGCAGCCACCAGTCGCGATGCGCATTCACACCCAGCGCGAAGACCTGCGCGAACACCAGCCATATCCCAATAGACGCCCACATGATCATACAGTTCGTAACGAGCGACGGAGGTGAGTGTAGTGAGGCAAGACAACCTCAGGACTGCCGCCGCAGCCTTAAGGAGACGTCCACCCCTCTGCGCCTACCACTCTCGCGTCTGTACTCGGGGATGTCGCATGGCGAGTGGCGTCTGCACCCTTTCCAGATCACCGTCAGCCGGAGCCAACCAGTTGCGTGGCATGGATCGTCGCCGTCATCGTGTTTCCCCCGCTTGTGTTTCAGGTCGGGTGCACATCCAGGCGAGGGGGGAACTCTGCTCGCCTGGCTTCTCACTCGCGTCGCAGACACGCATTGCAACATCATGCCTTATGATCGATTATCACTATTCATGGAGTGTCACTGCCGTACGGCCTCTCAACACCCAATATTTGCGGCGTTCTCGATTGCGACATGATGTGCGTCGAGGCTGAGGGTGGCGACTTCTGCACCGTTGTTTTTACTCGTATCGACAACTCCAGCTGTCAATATTTCGATAAGGCGTCGTTGCGGTGGAGCTGGAGAGTTGATCACTTACCCCATAGTATTTCACCTCACGTACAGCAAGATGTCATACGGGAATACGACATCCCCGGCTATGCTACCGCTCAAAGCGTTGTCCCTGATGGCATTTGCGGTAGCTGAAGTCAAAAGTGGCCTCACGGACCTCCTGGTGTCCAGTCATTACACACGTCAATATCTTCTCCTGAAGGAACGATCGCGACGATTTCACCAGACTTGATACTTTCGACTTCAACCAGCGCTCCGATGGCTTTCATACAAACAAGGAGAAGAGGCACGTCTGCGGGTGTGTACTTCAAGTTGAGTAGCAGACATTGCTCATTCAGCAAAAAGCAGGCCTGACATGGCACTTTTTGTGTCGTAATCCATCGCGCCGTTTATGCGACAACGTCAAATACACTCCTGGGTTATTTCAATCGTGATAGCATTGCATCCTGTTGACATTGGTATCTCTCGCTCAAATCTTCTATTCTATATCGTTCCTATTTTACTAGATTCGTGGTTCTTAGCAGTCCATCCAATGCAACTACATTACCTCATCCCTTCGTCCTCAGCCTCCTCGTCACGAAATCCGGAGGCGCCGGTCTAACAGCCCTCTTAAAAACCTCTTCCCACAAGTTATCGAGCCTATCTTTCGTCTGCAAATACTCTTCCTGCCTCACCCAAACAGCATACTCAATCACCCTCAAAAACGTCCTTTCACCTCCCAGCAGAGCATGTCTACTCAGCTGAAGTGGCACAGCCCAGTGCTCCAAATTCACCCAATCGTGAACCAGGAACTTGTACGCCGTGTGCACCGCTACCGCAACAAGCGTTGCGTCACTCAACTCTGGTCGGTAAAACGATCTGGAGGTGGGGTAGGGTATAGGTACAGTAGTGATAAGTCCACTTTCATCCTCATTCTCGTCTGAGATCGCGTATTCATACTTACGCTCGTCTTCACGCTGGGACGTGGATGAAGACGCGATGCGATAGCGGAGTAGTAGACATAAAGTGAGGGGGATGGTATCTGGACTGGCGTGATCAGCAGAGGTAAATTCCATGTTGAGGAATTGGAGCAGGCCTTGGCACACGGTTGTCATGAATTGCGTGGGGCGTAGAGCGTCGCTGTTGGGGTTGATGTGTGCGAGCTCACCATCACGCGTGGAAGGTGACTGGAGCATAGACTCTACGTCGTCGAGCGGGGCGTGTATGATGAATGTGCTGAGACGAGCGAGAAAGGGTGCGGTGTAAGGCTGAGGCGGGACGAGGTAGTGTTCGACCATGTTGAAAGACGCTTGTGGAGCCATGTCGATCCAAGCGCGGGTGTCTTGTTAGCAAAGGCTGTCAGTCACTACGTGCACATTAGAAAGAGAACGAGAGTAGAATAGAACGCATTTCTTGAGGGCATACACAAGTCGTGTTGTGAAAGCAGGGTTGTGAATCTGCATTATGGCAATGAGTACTATTGACTAAGGTGTATCAAGCCTGCTGGCTGTGACAATGTTCTCACAACACATCTTGGCTCTGTGCTGTCTCAATGTCGCGCGAGGGAGCGCTTGCAAGACACCTAATCATGATCAGATCCTAGTTATATTGTCACTACATCGAGTCTCGATATCCAAGAGTGCGTTCCATCTATCACATGAAAACGTCATCCTGATCTTCGAGCAACATCCCCCAGACAATCTCGAACCTACCCACAAACTCCTTAAAGTCAGCCTCATGCACCCACGTCCTAAAGTCCAGATCCTTCAAGAACGCGATCTCAGCGCCCTGAATATCTGCGTATTGCCTACCCATGACGTCGGCCCACGCCTTCGGCGATACCCTACTGTCGCAAAGATTCCCATACGCAGTCTTGATAGCTGCAGCAAGTCTGAGACTCTCCTCGTGCGTCTGCGAGTTGCATATCCCATCGCGGGTCAAGACCCTAAACTTCAGAAGGAGGAAAAGCGCGCAAGGGATCACGTCCTTACTCACCGCCCATCTTTGACTTCCGTTTCTTAGCCAGTTTGACACGCGCGTACAAGTTCTGGTCATCAGGTAGCCGGGCTCGATTCGTAGATCGGATGGGTTGATAAGGGTGAGAAGGGCTCTGAGGTCGGCTTCAGTTGCGGCGGACATGATGTTGTATAAGAGATCTGGGGGTACACTGGTGATGAAGCCTGCGAGTTTGGTCAGGTCGTCGTCTAGGTAGTATTGCGTGATGTCTGCGGTGGGCACACTGCCTGGATTTGTGCGCGGGGTATATGGAGGCGAGGTTCGCATGGTTGAAAGTTCCCCAGTATGGTAGTGACCTGTCGCTATGTGGTAAGACTGTACAATATGTGAATGAATTCGGAGAATGGAACTTGTTACGTGCTTTGGGGATTATCTACTCTACTCTAGTACTTTGGAAAGACCTTGTGGCGCCTAAGCTCATTGTATATCGAACCAGTTCGCGGGTATGCACAGTGCATTCTGGTCCATTCGTTCGTTGAACGAGACGACGATGCCCGTCATTAGTGGAGATGCTGAGCCCCATAGCTACCTGTGCCTGTCTTCCTCCTTGTCGCTCGCTGTTGTTTCGCGAAGGCATTCTTTGGATTCACCAGTTTGAGGATTGGCGCCTTGATATTGCGCTCGTACCCTGGCCTGCATGGTGCTGGTTGATGATGGTGAAAGAGCTGTCTGCATCGGGCTAGATCTCCCGGCGCTCCGCAGCTTCTTTCCCCGCATGCTGCACCTGCCCGTCCTCCACTTCCCAATGGCTGTCCCGCTGCCACCTGCTTCCAACCTCCACGCCATCCTCCTCGTCACCAAGTCGCGGTCACTCGGCCCCCGACTCGTCTTCCACTATCCACCGCTGTCACCTTCAGCAGCCGCACTTGCCGCCGCGAAAGACCCGGCTTGGTTCAGGCACGACACGTCGACGGCCAGCGTCGATTCGCGCAGCTCCGATAGCGAATGGGACAGCAGCACCGACTCGGACGACGACAATGACATCGAGATAGGCAGTCGCACCAGCGGCGGTCGCGCATCGGGGAGGACCCTGACCGGCCGCGTGAGCGACAAGTCCAAGCTGGGATCGGGGCTATGGGGCAAGCAGGAGACAATCGACGAGGAGGATGCCGACGACGACAATGACCAGGACGGTAACGGACACCGAGGCAAGGGCGGAGACCACGACTGGGATACCGTGTTGGGCTTCAAGATGGATGCGCTGGAGAAGATGTTGAGCCCGAGCAAAGAATACAACAAGAGGCGCTTCGAGCTTGGTGTTGAGAGCATCGTCTTCCTCGGCGCGCCCATGTTTGTAAGGGACGACGGGCTCTGGAAGAAGGCAAAGCGGAAGAAGAAGAAGCGCTCAGATCAGCAGAAGCTTGAAGATGGCGATCTGGTCAGGAATCTCACGAGCGCAAGCGACGACGACGACGCGAACTCCCCCGAACCGTCGAACGAACCGGTCCCAGGATTTGAGCCAGGCTACGGCCACGACTCCATGTCGAGTGGACCGTCGGAGGCTGGATCAGATGCACGCAGCAACTCGACGAGCCTTGACATCAACAACCCCGACATGACCATGTTCAACGTCGTCTTCGTGCTGAACCCACCTGCGCTGGAATACCAACAACGCGTCAAGGAGATGTACGAAAATGTCACGCGCAAGTATGCCAAAGCACTCAAGTACGAAGAGGCGCGGTTTCAGTACGTGTGGAAGGAATCCAAGCGCATCATCGACATCAAGCAGCGCGCCAAGGAGACGAACGAGTCGCTCACGGCGACATGGCGCAAGATTGTGAGCACATCACCGCTCGCCAAATCTATCGCTATCATGTTCGACGCAATATCGCACGACAAGATAGCCCACATCCACTTCGATGCGACGTTCAACACATCCTTCCAGATTCCGCAGGCCGATTCCACTCCCTACCTCCCCACCGCCATCGAACCCCAGATGCCAGGTCTATGGCTCACGACCTCGAACGTCATACTTGAAGACGATGATGCGCCTATGACACAGCATGCCGCCTTGCTGCTTCTGGAGGATGCCGAAGTGCTGATCAAAGACCTGGGCGGTGATACCGGTGGCAACGCCGCAGCCATCGCATTCTACATACGCAACATCATACCCACCAAGTCGCTGCTCAAGATCTCGAAGAAGCATAACATATCCGCGCACGATATGGAGTACATTGCAAGCCATCTTGTCTACTGGCGGCGGGCACGTCTCGTCGCTCCGCTATCACCACGCGACACATACATCGTCAGTCCAAACGCCGACATGACTGTTCTCCCAGCTGCGATATCAGTATATGCGCAGCGCTTCCCCACGTTGCCTACGCTGCCTAAAGTACTGAGCATGCTCTCCGGTACACCTCGGCCGTACAGGAACTTCATACCTACAGCCGAACATCGCGAAGCGTACATGGAGATCCTGGCTTGGCTCATGCGCGGCGGCTGGGTCACGCAGTTGCGCACATTCGCTTGGGTGCGCGTAACGCCTGAGATCAAAGCGCAAGTCGCAGCGGAGATGGAGCGCGAAGAGCGCATCAAGAAAGCTGAAGAGGCACGCAGGGAGTTGATGAGCGACAACGATTCGGTGGCGGACAGTCTGCTCTCCGACAAGCGAAGCAGCTTGCTTTCGCTTAACTCTGCGAGGACTTCATCGCCTTTGCGCCGCACGCGCAGAGATGCGGACGAGGAAATGGAGAGCAGCACGATACTGAGCCCTCGACTCGGATCGACCGCCATGTCGCGTAGCGTTTCTGCGCGCACGAGTTCGGACGCCGGGAGTACGAGCAGTCAACGCACGACCATTGCGCTTACGCCATCGCAGAGGGCGGAGTCGCCATCTCATCTCGGGCTTCGGGACGTAAAGCCTCATCGGCCGTCGCCTCTACATCTCAAGCCAACCTCCCCATCTCCATCGCGCAACTCGATAGTCTCGCCCACATCTCCGGTAGAGAAGCTCGCCCCACCAGACCCATCGTCCTTCGCACCCACCACCATTCTATCGCCACAGAAAGCGTCGTCGATAGAAGCGCGGTGGCTCGATAAGATCGCCCAAACGTTCGAAGAGACCGCGATCATTTCGACGAATCCCAGTCCGCCGAAACACGCAGATGGCGCGCTGGGTGGCATAACCGGTAAAGAGCTGCGAGAGAGCTGGCCCATGCTGCTCAGGCATCTGGATGGTAAGCATGCGATCGAGGATGTGTCGGCTAGAGAGGGCATCAAGCGGAAGCGGGTCGCGGTGCTGTTCAATGCGGTCAAGGAGAGAGGCTGGCTGGTTATTGCGCGGCATTGGTGAGTTTATGGATGATGTGGTGGTGGTGTTTGATTCGATACCCGTGTGTTGGTTGGTTCTGAACCGTAGTTCTCTCAACCCACTTCATTTCAAAGACGAGTGCCAACACCCCAGGAGCCTACGTGGTCGTTGGGTTGACTACTTTGCGTGTTTTTATCACGATGTAGGCTGCAGCCTACATCAGTTCAAGGAAAAAAGTGGACACCCTGGAGCCTACGTTGACGTTGGCGTATCTACTTTGCATGATTTTAACTCGATGTAGGCTGCAAGTCTCACTACTTTGTTGCTTGCACAATGCGAACCCTCTGGTTCTTTCGCGCAACAACGTGCTCGCTTGGACCATGGTTTTAAGATTCATATCCACCGGTATTATTAGTATCGCGCGAAATCCCATGGTCGAGCCTCAAATACTTCCCTTTGGAAGTAACATCACGCAAAGCTTAACCATGGCTTGACTTTTTGTGGAAGTTTCTGCTGCTATGCGAAGACTTCATGTATAACACATCCCCCCTCTCTTCTGTCTTCTTTCTTACGATCTACGAAAGCAAAGTCTGCTCCACAACAACTTTCCGCACCACTCCCAAGTCAAACCAAACCACTTCCCAACTAAACCAAACTAAACCACCAAAATGCGTGGTCTCTTCATCGCCTTCCCCCTGGCCCTAGCCTCCGTTGCCTTCGCCGGCCCCATTTCGATCCCGACTCGTGCGGTGCCGTCAACGCCTGACTTTACGGCGATGCCGCGCATGACCGCTGCCTCTGCCGCCGTCGTCGACGCTCCTCCTGCTACCACCACCAACACCGCCGCCCACACGACGCTCATCACCATGGCGTCAGGCCTCGAGCCCCGCAAGCACAAGCACAACCACCACCAGCATGACAAGGACCACTACGGCTACGGCGGCTGTTCCGAGTACTGGGACGGAAGGTTGATTACGAATTGTCCGAGTGTTATTGCTACTACGTACGTTCTTCCCAATCTATCATGCAAGCCGAAATGGGTTTTGTTCTTTGGGTTTTGAGATGGAGAACCTTGGAAGCTAATGAGAAATGTAGGCTTGACTACCATGGTACGCATCCGCTCATAACTCTCGAAGGTAGCAGGCCTGAATCCTGATTGCGAGGGCAAGTATGGGGGGAAGAAGACTATGGTGTGATGGGCTGCTTCAATAGATTTTAATGGATGCGCCAGTCGGTACTGTACTCGATGATGGGGTGCTTGGCGTTAGTTGCCAGGTTATTAGTTGTGTTGGGTTACCGTAGTCGCGTTGTTTCAATTTGACATCGCGATGTTGGTTGCTTCGCTTGATACTCACAGCGATGTGTGTAATTGCTGATATTCCGTGACTGAACGCCACGATACGGCTCGTTGATACCCATCTTACGATGAGAGGCCGAGTATCCTATGCCTCCACGAGGTTCTCACTCGAAGTAAAAGTGCTGCCTGTCGGATACGACGGTGTGATTGCATGCCACGCTCAGGCTACTCTTGACAATGTAGGACCTGCGGTTAACGATCGCGTGTTGGTTGGTCGCACAAAGATATTCCAGCGCCACTAGATGCGATCAAGGTATGCGCGATGTTCTGCGTGAATGAGCCGAACTCAGCAAATACGTCGGGTGGAGATTTGGGTGGTAGAAAAGTAAAGAAAACTACACCCGTGGTAGCCAGCGCAAATTTGCCCGACTCTTCCAAACCCAGTGTATGTGACTGGCCCGCTCCAGCGCGTCGTGTAGGAAGGTGCTCGATTAGACAATGCCGGAGTACGATTCGCCGTGAAAAGTAGTTTGGAAACCCGGTACCAAGGAACAGGAGGGCCACATTTGCCTACAAAATGACAACGTTCCCATCTCTTTCTTTTCTTAAGCACATCCCCTCACATCAAGTGTCTTTTGGCTACGATTCAAATCCCGACTATACCAACTTCTAAAAATCAGCAACGACTTTTCTCAACACTATGAAGCTCACCGCGATCATGGCTGCAGTCGCTGGCCTCTTCGCCGCTTCCGCTGTCGCACACGAGCAATGGGTCTACAACGACCACCGCAGGCCTCGTGCGCAAGGCGCAGTTCCGAAGTTAGGTATGTATCTTCTGCCGATAGCATGAGCTATCATCGCGGCTCCGCAACCTATTATGCTAACCCCCCTCACAATAGCAGACGACTACGTCCCCACAGCAGAGGACAAGTCTCTTTGCGCCCGCTGGGACGGACCCCGCTGCCTCGACGACGAGGAAGGCCCCAACATCTTCGACGAGGAAGAGCGCAAACGTCAGGAACTTCAAAGCCCTGCGGAGAAGCGAGAGGAGGCTCTGCGAGAGTTGAAGAAGATCGAGAAGATCTGGGAGGG